CTTGGATCCCCCCCCCGCGCCGGAGCGTTCATTGAATTGCGTGGATAATTCGCCGGATCCCCACCCCCCCCCAGAGCGAAGCTTGAGCGAGCTCAAGCCCACGCTCTCAGAAACTCACACGCCGGATCGGCGGATTTTTTCATTTTTCGTCCAAAATCCCCTTGTAGGGGGACACGCCCGACTTAAGGTTAGGGGAGGGGGGGGTGAACGAACGCTGCTGCCTGCAGCCTGTCTCGGCCCTGTCGCTCGGCACTTTCCTCGATGCATGGGGCGGCTGGGCGGGGCCAGGACGAAGACAAGTCCGCTCCAGAGCGTGATCGGACGCTCCGAGAGCGTTCTGACCGCGGCGCCCGCGACATCCTCCCAAGCCGCCAGGTCTCAGAGACTTTCGATTTGAGACCGAGAACCTCTGACCCCACCCTCGGTTTCGAATCGAGAACCGACTTTGAATCGAGAATCTTTCGATACTCGAGAGATTCTCGAGACTCGATTCTCGAAAATCGAGAATCGAGAATCGAGAGTCGATTCGAGAATCGAGAGTCGATTCTCGATTTAAAATCGGTTCCTCACCCGAATCGATCTTCGTCCTGGCTTCGTCTTGGGGTGGCGGTGGCGGGGCCGGTCCCTTGAGCTCCACAGCCTTTCGGGGGGGGGCCTCCGTGGAGGAGGGGGGGGGGCGAACGTCAGGAGGGAAGAAAACACACAGACACAGGTAATCGCCGATCCCCCAGAAAAGATGGGAGCATCTGGGAAGTGGGGGGGGGAAGACAAAAGCCGAGAAGATATGGGAAAATGTGGGGGATCCCGTGATTTGTGTGTGTATATTTATGTGTGTCTCCCAGGGCCCCTTCAGAACGGCGGGAGGAGAGGAGGGAGGAGGGAGCAGGGGAGGGAGGGCAGCGGCAGAGACGCAGCAGGGGAGCAGTAGGGGGTCTCCTCCCGCCTCCTCCTCCCTGTTCCCTTCTCTTCCTCCTCCTCCTCCTCCTCCTCCTCCTCCTCCTCCTCCTCCTCCTCCTCCTCCTCCTCCTCCTCCTCCTTCCTCCTCCTCCTCCTCCTCCTCCCTCCTCACTGTCTTCCTCCTCCCTATCCTCCCTCCTCGTCCCCTTCCTCCTCCTTCATTCTCCTTTCCCCCCATTCCGCCTCCTCATCCTCCGCCTCTCCCCTTCTGGCTCCCTCCCTCCCCTCCGCCGTTGCTTCCCCTCGTCGTTCTGTTCATCCTCGTCCCTCCTCCTCCTCCTCCTCCTCCTCCTCCTCCTCCTCCTCCTCCTTGTCCTCCTCCTCCTCCTCCTCCTCCTTTTCCTCCTCCTCCTCCCCCTCCCTCTCGTCGCCCCTTTGGCTCAAGCACGCGCGTGTCCTCGGAGCTTGCTGGGCGCGCCTGCGCCCGCGGCGGCCGCGACGCAGCGGACCCGCCATGGTGGTCGTTGCACGGCTCGCATGGCTCAGGCAATGGTGGTTGTCGGTTCTCTGGTACGAGTTTTAAGTCGGGCCTGTCCCTCTACAGGGAAAATATTTAAAAATAGTCCAGAAACAGTCTGGGGACTATGTTTTGAGTAGTGCTTGAACTTTTTGGTGCATGTTTGGGGTATATGTTTTTTTTGTTCGTCGAAAATCCCCCTGTAGGCGGACACGCCCGACGTAATACAAGTTGCGATGAGCTCTTGGGCATTGCATGAGCGGCCGAAGATCCGGATCACCCGATAGTACGATAACGCCGTCTCCACTCGCCTCGCGAATCCACGTGCCCACTATGCTGGGTGCCATCACCATGCTGGCTGCAAGCTGTCGCACGGTGGATCGAGGGCACCGCCACAGTGATGGGCGGCAGGAGGCTTCCCTCTGGAAGAATTGTCGTCGTGTGTCTCCTCATTCTGACGGCGACCTGGGTGACGATTGACGACGCTCCTCACGATGGTGGTGATGATGCTTGGCGACGTCGTCCCTGTGACGGTCATGCTCACGACGGTTCTGATCCTTGGCATGGTCTTGACGGGGACCCGTGGTCGGCGTTTCCCCCCCCACACACACCTCGTAAAGCACAACAGCGGCAACATGGTCATCGTCGTATTGCGCGTGTGTCGCTTATAAGCTTCCTCTTCGTTCTTCATGTGTTACTGAAGCTGCTCAGGGGAATGCTGATCCTGGAGTGGCGACGCCACCCAGCATCCCCAAGTTCCAATTCAACACGTTGGCCCCGACCTTCGTTCCTGCTGGTGGTGGGGAGTGGCATCAAGCGGATGATGGTTTGCTTCTTCGTGATGGCGGGCCTCGTCACGTCAATTCTAGCGGCGGCCAGGTACACGATCCAGTGGAGCTTGGTGGTGCTGACCTGGCGGTCCTGTTGATTGAGCTCCTCGCGCCCGGGTCGCGCGGGCTGGAGCCCCTCAAGAGCAGAGTCGAGCTCGAGCTCGGCGATCTCCCTGCGGTTCCTGACAAGGGCCTCGTCCTGTCGCGGTGCGGGTCCTCATCGTAATGGCGGTGGTGAGCACGTTCTTCGAGAGATTGCCTGGCCTTCGGAGGGCTCCGACGACTGCTGGGACGGCCTGTCGCTCCTGGACCTGTGCGGTCGCATGCCGTGGCCGTTGGAGGAGTTCATACGGCCCTACGTGGTGGTCACGGGGCTGAGGTCACCGGTAGGGTCGGCAATCGAGATCTTTCGTCCGCGCGAGGTGGTGATGGTGGACGCGTGGCGCGTGCGTGAGGTTGGCAACCCGTCCGGCACTCGGCAGCGGGATGGGATGTTGGCAGAGCTGGAAGCGAGATGAGCACACCCAGGGTCACCCATGGTGCTCTCTGTAGGCGGCGCCTTCTCCTTCGGCGCGGTTGCCCTGCATTGCACACGTTGCTCGGCGGGGCGATCGCTAGAAGTTCGTCGCAAGCGGTCCGGACTGCGTGGCGGAGGCGCTGAGGGCACGCTGGCATTGGCTTCGCTGTCTCTCTCCGTTTGTCTTAAGTCGGGCCCGTCCCTCTACAGGAGGAGTTTTCAAAACTAGTCAAAAAATAGTCTGGGGCTATTTTTTGAGTATCTTTTGACCGTTTTGGAATATTTGTTGGGTATTTTCCTATTCTTCGTCGAGGATCCCCCTGTAAGGGGGACACGCCCGACTTAACGCAAGCGGTCTGGGCTGCGTGGCGGAGGCGCCGAGGGCACGCTGGCTTTGGCTTCGCTGTCCCTCTCCGTTTGTCGTTTGCCTCGTTTCGTCTTGTCCCTCCCCCTCCCGTTCTGCAAGGGCGCCCTCGAGGGCGCGAAGTTATTCGCGCTTCGCGGTTCGGCTCCGATTCCTCCTCATCCTCTTCTCCCCTGGGAGGCGGCGCGAGAGCGAGAAGTTATTCGCACTTCGCGCTTCGCGCAGCGCGAAGCGCGAAGTTGGGAGCCCTTGGTTCTGTCGCCGCCCCTTTCCGTGTGCCTGCCCTTCGTGTCGCCCTGGATGTGCTGCGGCCCGCCGTTGCTTCCCCCCTCGGCCTCGTCGTCGTCTTCTTCTTCTTCTCGCTCGTTCCCTCGTCCTTTGCGTGCTCGGCCCTCGAACAAGCGGTGAACAGTCGTGGCATTCGTCCGGGGAGGAACGAAAAAGTCTGGTTCCTCCTCCTATTCCTTATGTTCTCCTTTGTCTCCGCCTTTATCTCTCCTCTTCTTCCTCGTCCTCCCCATTCAGTCCCTCATCATCCGTCTCCCCGTCCCTCAAGTCGAGTCGACGTTCCAGCGAATAACACAAAACGATTTACACACGGTTTACAGAAACCCAGATCATACTCTTACCATTGCCATGTCTTTGTTGGATCCACTTGCGGGTTTGAGCGAGTTCATCGGCAAGCATGCGCCCGTCCTCGATTACCATGCAGTTGGTATCACCTTCGTCATGGCTTACGTCATGATCATGCCCCTCGGCGTGTCCCACCTGCTCTGCCTGCTGTTCGGCGCGGTAAGCTACGTGCTGTTGCTTCCCCAAGATCGCGGGGTCGCCGCCAAGAAGCCGGGTCTGGCCGAGAAGGGCACGCCGGCAGTGGTGCCCGCAGCCAAGGACACCGCGACGCCCCTGCAGGACCCAGGGTGCGAGCTGGACAACGTTCTGGCGATCTCGTGGACCGTTTTCGTTTTTGCTATCGTTTTGCAGCGAAGGCGGAATGAAGACAGGATGAAGGAAAACGATGACAAAACGAAAACGGATGACACTGTTTAGCTCGGTTCCTGGTTTCGTCTGAGGAATTCCTGCAGCAGCAGCCTGTGGATACGCGAAGCCGCACAGCCGCCTCCGCCAGCTCGACGCCGCTGGCCCAGGTCTCGTGGGCGAAAAACATCTTCGTATCCGCGGCCTCGCGGGCCGGTCCCCTGGGCCGCAACCAGGCAGATGCGGTGCGTTTCTGTGGCGCATGCCCCGCGCGGAACGCACCCGTGGGACTGCGCATCCGCGGGATCGTGCCCCAAAGCCCAGACCACGAGGGCGCGGACACGGATAGATTCGCCTCTCGTGAAGGTCAGGGGCAGCCTAACCATCCCTTTTCTGTGACGTCCCGCTCGCCTCGCCCCCAGACGTATGTATGCGGCCAGAGGGGAGCTCGAAAGGCGAGGATGATGTCATGGAAGGGGATGGTTTGCCAGGGGTCGGTCAGGCCGCACCCGAGAAGGCCGCGCCCTGGGCGGAGCTGGCGCCGCCGCCGCGGCCCGCGGCGCAGCAGAAGTGGCGGGCTCCCGCGGCCGCGGGCGCGGACCGCGCCGCCGCGGACGACGACTGGCGCTCCCGCCACGCTGCGGCGCCCCCGTGGCGCCAGCGCGCGCCCCAGGCCCCCGGAGGGAAGGTCGCCCTCTCGTCCGGGCTGTCGGCCGCGCGCAGGGCGCTGGCCAAGGATCGGCACGCTCGAAATGGGCACGCACGGAAGGAAGGGGTGCGAAGGCCGGCAGCAGCTCCCGGCCAGTCTGAACAGGGCTCGCTGTCGGCGGCGCCGCGGGCGTCGCCTGTCTGGGGTAGAGCTCGCCGGTCCAACAGCAGCCGCTGTCAGCTTTGGACAACGTGTGCTGCTGGGCACCGTGCCCACGGCTTCCGTGCGCCCTGCGGGCGTGCCGAAAGCAGGCGGCGTGACGGGCCTCTCGGGCGCGCAGGGGCGCGGCGCCATGGAGTGTGCCGGCCCGGCACCGCGAGGCCCCCCCGCGCGCTGTCGCACAGCAGGCGCGCAGGGTGCGGAGGCCGTGCCGGAAGAGATTTTGGGGGGCACGTTGGTCGTCGAGCTGTGAGCTTCCTGGGGTGCCCCAGGGGGCTTAGTGGGCCCTGGAAACGACAGGGCCGTTTTTTTACCAGTTCCGTTTTGTCGTTTTTGTTCCCGGTTCCGACGCCGTTTGTTTACCGGTCCCGTCGCAGTTCTTTTACGGGTTCCCGCTTTGGCTCCAATCCTGGAGCCGTTTTTGTTGCCGTTTCCAGTCGCCGTTATTTTTGCCGTTTCCATTTTCAAGGGACAGTTTTTCGGAAACGGTGGAAAAACGGCCCTGCCGTTGCCGGGGCCCACTAAGCCACAGGGGCCCCCAGGGCCGTCGGTGTGCAAGAGAGTCTTCGCGGGGCACTTGCTGGCAGGCTGGCTTCCTATCTGACGTGCCTGCTGTCTTGCTGGATCGTGCCGCTGCTCCTCCGCCCCTCCGCCGCGGAGAGGCCCTCCACCGCAGAGACTCGTCCTACACCTTCAGTGGTGGCGTGCGAGCGCTTCACCCCCCTCCCCTCCCTCAAACGACCCTTGCACAACCCAGACTAGAGGTACGCTGTGATGCTTGAGGCAGCCTGAACAGACACCGATCGCCATAAGCGTGGCGTGCTGACGGTCCATTGGAAGCGTGGAACAAGTGCAGTCTAAGCCAATAAAGAACACCCGCCAACAGATACTACAGCGGTGACATGTTCTGTGATGCTGCGTCGTGCAGTGGTTCTGTTCGTTCCAGTTCCCAACCATCCTGTGGTGTGGACCCTAGTTTTGAATACGCAGCGCATCGCGTCCACTCCTTCCTCCCGCTGCCCCCTCCCTCCCATCCCTGGCTCTGCTCTCCGCGGCACACCCCTCAAACGGGTCGTGGCACCATGGCGAGCTCCAATTGAGGCCCACATGCCAGCATTTGCATGGCGCCACAGCACCCATCTCGGTGCACCATTCACACGTTGCGTGGCATCATATGGAGCTCCGCCGGAGGCCCCAGTAGCTGCAGTCGCATGCCACCGTAAGGGTATAAACTTCCCAGCCGCCCTGGGACATGCTCTCCCCACAGCGAAAAAGTTGTACCGTTTTTCGCCCGTGAAGGGTCGCTGGCCAAAGTGCACGTGAGTAGAGTTCCCGTCAGGGGGCGCTGAAAGTGGGGGCCCCCGAGGCAAAGCCTAATTGGGGGCAACGGCTTCTTGTTGCCAAAACTTGATCAGCCACTTCACGACATCCCCAGGGAGCCACAGGGCGCGCGTCCGAAACATCCGGCGTATGCGAGCGGGCTTGGCGCTGAGTCGCCCAGTGTGCGAGACCATCTCAGGACTTCATGTCTACCATGTGCGCGATCATTCGAGAGTCATTTTTTGGCGTGAGGTGTTCGGTCGTCCATCCGTGAGATTCCTTTCCAGTCCATCCGTGAGATCCATTCCCAACAATTCGCGCGGTATGGCAAACTGAGTTGTTTGTGAGATACCTCTGGAATCTCGGGAGGAAGCTTTGGCGACAAGCGTATGGTTTGCCCGTCTATGTTTGTGAACCGTTCCGCGGTGCCGCACAATTCCATGACCATGCACACCTCAGCGCAAACGCGCGCGATCGTTTGGTTTGCATATCTCTGCAGTTGGTGTACTCCACCCTCTCGCTCTGCCGTCTAGGGCAGGTGTGAATTTTGGGCGGGTGCGGTTGATCCATGTGCCGAGGACGGCGTTAGAAGAAAACGCCACAAATTCGAAGAAAACGCCACAAATTCGAAGAAAACGCCACAAATTTAAGCGGGTTTTTTATTTTTAACGCAAATTCGGAGTGAATTCTGGACGGGTTTTCTATTTCGAAGAAGACGCCACAAATTTAAACGTTTGGCGCTCCGCGCGGATTTCTTGGATCCGCGCTGGGCCCCTTTGGCGGCGCCTCTGGCGCCGCCCCTGGCCCGCTCCGCGCGCCAGGGAGGGTGGCCCAGCGCAGATCCAAGATATCCGCGCGGAGCGCCAAAAGTTTGTGCTGATGCCCTTGTTTCTTCTTCCACATTCATCAGCAATCGGAGCAGCCGATCTGACAGCCGTGGCGTTCAATTCGGCAGGTCTGGACCAGATCAGTGCTCGGCGTAGCCGTGCCAGCCGGCCTTGCACTATACATCGAGAGGGGGGCTGACGCCTTCTGCCGCCGGCCCCTCGCTGAGATGTTCGCGGCCTGGGAGGCGTCGGGGTCGGAATCGGGAGTGTTCGGTGCGTGTCGTCCTTCACCACCAACCAAAGCACCCCAACCAAACCCGACGGCCTCAATTGCCCTCCATTTCCAGTGGGGGGGTGAGTCGGGGAGCATTGACAAAAACACATATGGAACGCGTACCCTCCCCCACCCGAAATTCGGGTCTTCGGGTTGGGTTGGGGTGGTCTGGTAGGTAGTCAGTCCTCCTCCTCTTCCTTTTGACGGTGCTCAGACGTGACGCGGAAGCTTGACGCGATCGAATGCAGGAGAACGACCGCCGCATTAGCGGAGCGAGAAACAAATTGGGCTGGCGGGCGCAGCGGACAAAGTCGTGCAGCAAGATCAGAACAGCAGAGGGCTTGTGAGTATGCGCCCGCCATATGGTAGAAGCTGCGGTACTTGGCGTTACCTTAGTATCCCGTCCACCTCCCCCACTCCTCGAATACCCGCTCCCATTCCCAAATGCGGAGGTCCAGGCGTGCAGAAATTAAGATCAAAGCATACAGCACAGGCGGCGTGAGAGCAAGAAAGAGTGAAGCAACTCGAACTCGAGGCAAAGGATAACATAGAAGCGTGTGGGTAAGGCGAGAGGGGTAGTACCAGCAGGAGTTGCGTTCAAAGGGCTGGCATTGTAAAAAGCTGGCCTGCCTGTGTATTGACGTGCTGGCCGCGCCCTTTGGTAGGGTCATGCCTGTGGACGACCGGTTCAGAGGGGCAACTCGCTGAAAGCCAGGGACTCCGGAAATAAGAGTCAGTTTGGAGATCGATCCTTCGCACTACATCCCGCCCATCCTCCCAACCTTGCAAGCAGCCCCCATCCATCCCCCTCCAATAGACATTGCTGTGCTGGCAAAGGGGCTGACCAGCCTCAAGCTGACAGGAGGTAAGCGCAAGCAAGGTGTGGGATACGGGGTGGTCGAGGCTAAGACTGCAGAATGAACAGCGAAAGGAGGGTGCGAGCATGGCGGCAACTCTTGGGTTGATACCCAGGGTTTTGCGGTTCACCCCTAATCTCCAGGGCCGCGGGACCCACGTGTTTTTTGTCATGTGTTTTTGTTTTAGCACGAACCCTAGTGACCTCAATGTCATTGTGAAGGTCAGCAGTTACTGACTTGCTGAAGGGAGTGATGCATACTGGGCTTACTGTAGTCGGTAGTCCACAGGGGGAGTGCCAGGTCACTCCCCTACCGAAGTGCCAAAATTGCAACTCATTGTAGCCGACGTGCTAACAGCTGAGAGTAGAGGCATGCAGAGTTAGGTCAAGCAAGCATGAGTGGAGGTAGGTGAGTACCACAAAAAAAAAAAAAAGAGAAAGTAAGGCTGCGGCGTGCCATGTTGACCAACGTAATGAGGCTAGCCATGCGTAGTGGCCGGCCTTTGTAGAAGTGTCATATAATTGTGTGCGTTTCATTGTTGAGAAGCAAGATGCGCGATTGCGGCCTGCTGGGAGCAACCACCCGTCCCAAACCACTTCCAAAGTCATTCCCCAACCTTCCCCCTCTAGCACACCCTGTTAGGCCAGCGCTGCCTGGCCTAATGACAGAAAGGTAGATCGATTTGGTCGCGTGCTGGGCTGGAGTATGGCTGCTTGAAAAGGACGCATGGCAATGGTGAGACTCGGCAGTAACTAGGCAGAGGAGAGAGGCTGTGCGTTCTGAAGCGTCAACAGAATTATTCACTGCGTGGAGCTCCCCATATGTGCATCTATTCGCATGGACCTGTCCGCCGTGAATGTCTAGGCGCAAGAGCTTTCGAATATAAGACTGTCTGGTCATGAATACAATTGCGAATGAATTGGAGTGTGAATGAGCCTCAGTAGTACGAGCGCGTCTCTGCGCATGAGCCTGGGGCCTCCTGGGGCCTCCTGAAACCTATTGGGGCCTCCAGGAGCCTCTTGGGGCCTCCTGGGACCTCCTAGGGAGGATGTGTGCCCCAGGAGAGGCCCAATAGATAGCAACAGACGTACATAATAGACATTGTGGATTGGAGCCACAAGAGAAGGTTGTAGGAACACACGTAAAACACCAAGGACTCGTGCCGCAGGAGAGGCCCAATCTATAGTAACATGAGTAAACCATTTAGGATTGTGTACACAGGAGAAGGACAATCGATACAAACATACGTATGACATCAAGGATTCGTGCTCCAGGTGAGGCCCAACATATAGGAGCCTACGCAAAACACATGGGATTGGAGCCACTCCTTTTGTGCCTTCTGAGGCCTCCTGCTCCTAGGGCCTCTCGGGGCCTCCTGTTGCCTTCCGAGGCCTCCTGGAGCTTCCTGTGGCCTCCTGGGGCCTCCTGTGGCTTCCTGAGGCCTCCTGGAGCTTCCTGGGGCCTCCTGGAGCCTCTTGGGACATCCTGTGGCCTCTTGAGTCTTTATGTGGCCTCCTGATGCCTCCTGGAACCTCATGTGGTCTCCTGGGGCCTCCTGGAGCCTCTTGGAGCCTCCTGTGGCATCCTGAGGGGAATCTGTGCCCACGAGTCTGGCCACCAAAACAAGCAAACCGATCGAGACATCCTCAAACTCTGGCCCACCTGGGGGGGAATGAGCGCCTCGCTCGAGACATCCTCCAAATCAGCTCCGAAAGCGAAGGATGCTGTAATAGAAGAAAACAGGCAAACCGCTTGAGACATCCCCACAAAACGGCCGCGAACGGGACCGTGCAAAACCCCTCGGAGGCTCCCTTGAGGGTGGTCAAACTGAGCGCCTCGCTCGAGAGATCCCCCAATTCTGCTCCGAAAGCAAATGATGTTGGGACAGAAAACATGCAAACCGCTTGAGACATCCCCACACAACGGCATACCCCTCGGCGGCCCCCCTTAGGGGCGTGAACATGAGTTTCTCGCCCGAGACATCCTCCAAATCTGCTCCGAAACCGAAGGATGTTGTGATAGAAAAAACAAGCAAACCACTTTAGACATCCCCACAAAACGGCCGCGAACGGGACCGTGCAATACCCCTCGGCGGCTCCCCTTAGGGTGGTGGAAATGAGCGCCTCGCTCGAGACATCCTCCAAATCTGTTCCGAAAGCGAAGGATGTTGGGACAGAAACAAGCAAACCGCGTGATACATCCCGACGAAACGGCCGCGAACGGGACCGTGCAATACCCTTCGGCGGCTCCCTTTAGGGGTGCTGAAACCAGCGCCCCGCCTGAGACATCCTCACAATCTGCTGTGTGTTGAGTAAGTCAGACAATGAGAAGGTCTGAGTATGAGTAAGTCCCGGTATGAGTTAGTCTCCGCATGAGTAGTTAAGTCTGAGTATGAGTAGGTCTGCGTATGAGTAGGTCTGAGTATGAGTAAGTTAATATGATCAGGTCTGGGTATGAGTGAGTTTGTGTATGAGTAAGTCTGTGTATGAGTAAGTCTAGGTAGGAGGAGGAGGAGGAGGAGAAGGAGGAGTAGGAGGCGTCCAAGTAGTAAGAAGAACCCCATCTTAGGATATGGGAAAAATTGTGTTGCCTGAGGCTGGCATTGTAAAAGCTGGCCTAACCTCCTCCTCCTCCTCCAACTCCTCCACCTCCTCCTCCTCCTCCTGAGTGTTCGGTGCGTGTTGTTCATTCCGATGTGTGTGGTCACGTCTTGCCTTTGCGGGCTTCATGGGCTCACGGATTGGTGGCCGGGGGGTGGCGTCGGATTAGAAGAGTTGGTGGGTTCCCCAGAAGCAGGAAGCGTCGTTGTTTTTGGGTTGCGGATCCATTTTGCGTTCTTCGAAGATTCGTTGTTTTGAAAGGGATGTCTTCTTGGGCATTTTACAAGGGATCGTGCTCTTCGGGATGACCTATTGGTGTACGACGGGAAGCGGCAAAGTGATTCTTTCACTTGGGAGTAAAATTACGAGGGGGAGTCGAAGGGGGAGACGCGGTCGCCATGACCGAAACAGCCCCCCCTCGGGTGCACAGCGGACCCGCACAGTAAAGATAGGCAACAGTCCCAAGGGTACCCTTGCATCCTTCCCTCAGCTGTCCGTCCTTGGCCACTGTCGTTGGCCGCGCCCCGCTCGAAAAGCTTCGAGATGGAATTCCAAAGCCCTCGCATCCTTGCCGTGCGTCCTTACGATACGGGTTGACTGTAGTCTCATAACGGGCGTTTCGCGTGAGACATCATGTCAAATTTAAGATTTCGAGGGAGTTGTTTCTCAAAGCTCGTCTCTTTGGTTCCTAGGAGGGTTTACGAAAGTTCACCAGGCCCCAAGAGATCCCATGTTTCGGCCCCGTGAGGCCTCCAAACTGGCTCCACAACGGAAGTTTCGCTTGAGAAACCACCCCAGGATGGAAACGTAGAAAGGGGTTGTTTCTCAAAGCTTACAATGTGGCTTCCAAGAAGGATCTCAGATGCCTACAGAGGGCTCCAGGAGGGCCCCAGGAATGCCCAGCTAGGGTTCAGGGCGCCCCCAATATGTCCAGGAGGCCTCGGCAGGAGTCCGAAGGCGGCAGTGTTGCGCGAGGCATCCTCCTAAAAAGGCGGCTTGACGGCGCTGTTTTGCTAGGCATGCCTCTCTGGCCCCCATGGTGTGTAAGATGGCCTACGGGTGTCCCAGGAACACCAACATTCCAACATACATCCATCAGATATTATACACGAAAAAGCAGCAACGTCCATTGACTCCAGATTTCGCTAAAAAACAAGAATGTTTTGTCCAGTGAACTTGCATATACCTGGACCTGGGCGAGTGTTTGAGAAAACGCTTGGAGTGAAGTCCATGTTGCGAGTCTCAAATAGTTCAGCTCTAAACAAGGGCGCAGAGCCGGGTTACAACGACCAGGCGGGCTAAAGCGACCAGTCGGGTCAAATCGCCCAGGTGGGTTGACACGACCATCAGTTCAAAACAGCCGGGCGGGTTGACACGACGGCAGACCCGCGGAATTTGTGTGTTCCACACGTTTTGTTTGAAGTAGCGAGGTGGAGGATTATGAGGAACGAGGAGGAGCGAGGAGGAGGAGGAGGAGGAGGAGGAGAAGAATGAGCGATCAGGAGGCAGAGGAAGATCGTTGACGAGGAGCGTGGAGAGGGGTTGCGTGGAGCAAAGATGAGAAGCGAGGGTGTGCAATCAGGAGCCGAAGCGAACGAGAAGGAGGGGGAGTGGACAGCCGCGAACGACGGCAATCAACAGCATCAGCAACAAGGGGCTCAAGCAGTAGTTCTTCCCATTGCGCCCGAAATCTTTACGAGGGATTGTGGCCCTTGGACACTGGCCCGTTACTATTTTATTCTGGAGGGCGGATCCACCGTGTACTAGTAGGGTACATGGCCTTGGGATCGATGATATGGTGTGTTCTCTGTGGGTCCGATGGTGGCAACTGAAGCCGAGTCTGGGCGCAGGGAGGTTTGTCTTTCTCGGAAGCGGATATAGCCTCACCGTCTAGATTTTGTGCACATCAGACCTGGGCTTTGGCATCGCTTGGACGTGTGCCTTTTTTCCTTCGGCGAGGACCATCGAGGAGCATCCTTGATCATTTGGTGGTAAAACCACGCACGAAACCGAAAAAAACACAGGGAATTAACGTCCGAGCGATGGCCAGGGGCAGATACACAATCCCTGGATGCTCAACTTGCAACATAGACAGTCAAGTGCACACGGGGTGCTGTGCTGCAGAGCCCAGAGATGCGCAGCCCGGTGGCCCCGCAGCAGGAGCCCGGGGACCGAGCTGGCGATCCGCCAGGTCGGGCGTGGTTTCGCACTGGGGGGCGGGAGAGGGTGGCGATGGCACGGGGCCAAGAGTCAGGAGAGGAAAAAACACACAGACACAATTAATCTTCGATTCCCCAGAAAATATAAGAAAATACGGGAAGTGGGGGGGAAGACAGAAACCCAGAAAATATGGAAAAATATGGGGAATCTTTTTATTTGTGTATATTTATTTGTGTGTCCTGGGACCCCTTCAAAGAGGGAGCCTCGGGGCCCGAAGGTGCACGGAATGTTGGGCGTTCCTCCCCCCTCCCGGCGACAGTCAACCTGCACAGCAAGGATGGGCAATTGTCCCGAGGGTACCCTTGCCTTGTTATCATCGGTTGTAGATTGAGATCGGTTGCTCGTTCCTATCAGGTGAGCAGGTGGAGCAGGATGTGGTTCGGCGTTGCACAGTGCCGCTGTGCTATCATTGTCTGTAGTTCAGCCTGCACTGCTCGGGCTGTCGTGGTTTCGTGCCCTTGTTGTTCTGTCGGTCGTGGCCCTCGGTCGGCGTTGTCTGGGTCCTGGGGTTCCGTCCCTCGTTCCTTTTTCGATCCCGTCGGGCCCCCCGTCGCGCGTCGGCTACGTGCAGGTGTTCCTGTTCTGACGATAACCCGCGAGCAAATCAAAACAAACATCCTTAGCCGAGCCACTTTGACAGGCCGCGCCCCACTCGAAAATCCTCGAAATGGGGGCCGATTGTCTTGCCACCCTCTCAAGGAACACCCCGCTTCATCGCAGCGAGCAGGATCCGCCTTGCCTAGGGGACCATGCGTTCTGCGATCCGCTCGGGCGACCACGCATGCGCGTGGCGGGCGAGTGGTAATGACGTGCCCAGCGGCAGCTCACGCAAAGGCGTGCGCGGGGCGCGAGGGGGGCGGGCGCCGGGCCTCAGAAAAGGGCGCGTTGCGTCGCTCGGAGGGGGTGCCGCACGAGGATCCGGAGAGAGGAAGCAGCAGAAGCAGCAGAGAGTGTTGTTGTCGCGGCGACCTGGGTGCGAGAAGCGGTCGGGGCAGCCCAGGGGCGCTTCAGGGCCAGATCGGGCACAGCAGGAGCAGGAGAGGCGCGGAGGGGGGGAGGGGGGGGGGGGGGAAGCCGGCGGGCGGCGGAGCGGAGCAGCAGAAACGCGTGGGGAGGGGGGGGAGGTGGGGAGGGGAGACAAGAACTTGGGAGAGATGATGGAAAGGAGGGAACACGGTAAAGGAGGGAAATTGGGGAGGACAGGAGGTAAGGAGGGAAAAGGGGCAGAACTGGTTGGGCGGAGAGGAGGAGGGGAAGGAGGGAGGGAGGGACGAGGGGAGAAGGACGAGAGGGGTGGAAGGGCGGGACGAAGGAAGGGGAAGGGCATGGAGGGCGAAGGGTGGAAAGGGGGACGGGAGGCAGGGAGAGAGAGCGCGTCGGCGGAGAGGGAGCAGGAAAGAGGGGAGAGGAAAGCTAGGTGCGCTCGCACATCCCTTCCCTGTGCGTGGTTCTCTGTCCGCCGACGGGTGTCATGTCAGATCTGGACCCCCCCCAACCCGAAATGACCCCGTCGCGTTCTGCTCCAGCAGAGAGGGGACTTGTGTACACTGGGGGGAGGTGGAGGGGGAAGAGGAGGTGGCGGACGAGCAGTCGGATGAGCAGGAGGATGAGCAGGAGGAGAATGAGGAAGGGGAAGGAGGAAGGACAGCCGCAGCAGCAGGAGCAGGAGCAGCAGGAGCTGGAGGAGCTGGAGGACCAGGTGAAGGAGGAGGAGGAAAGGGGAAAGGGCGGTGACAACGACGGGGAAGGACTACGATCCAATAACCAGGCCCGCGCTGCGGCGAGAGCGCCACTTTGAGTGGCGGTAGCAGGCCGCCGATCCTGCAATGAGGCCAAGTTTGCAGCGGGGAAGCGATTTTTGCAACATCGAGACGATCGGAAGGGAGGAACCGATGAGACACAACGCTGTTGTAAATCTGGCGTGGTCAAAGAGGACACGGCGGGGGGGGCGGCCGTTCCCTGGCCATCTTCGGGGGAGAGATCAAGGGAGGACAGACCACCCGGACCCGATAATCGGCGTTTACCAAACGGGACGGGGCGTTCACTAAACAGCCCTGCCCTGTTCGACTCCTTCCCTGGACGCGCTTACCAAACGGCTTCGCGTGTCAGGGCGATTGTTATGACGGTGGACGTTCTGCTGCCCAGGAGAGGCGCATAGCATTTGTATTGAACATGCGTTGGGAAAATTGGTTGAGCAGGTGTGGAGGTGAAGAGCGAAGGGCGGCGGTATACGAACGGGGGGTGGGCGCAAGGGGAGGCGAGGGGACTGCAGAAGACGAGGGGGAGTGGGGAGGGGGGAGGAGGGGGGAAGAGGAGGAGGAGGAGGAGGAGGAAGCGAAGGAGGAGGAGGAGAAGGAGAAGGAGGTGGAGGAGGAGGAGGACGAGAACGAGAACGAGGAGGAGGAGGAAGAGGAGGAGGAAGGAGGAGGAAGGAGGAGGAAGGAGGAAGAACGAGGAGGAGGAGGAGGAGGACGAGGAGGAGGAGGAGGACGAGAAGGAGGAGGACGACGAGGAGGAGGAGGAGGACGAGGAGGAGGAGTCGGAGGAGGAGGAGGAGGGGGGGACAGAGGAAACGAGGAGGAGGAGGAGGGAGAAAGGGAGGCGCGAGGTGGAAGGGGCAGCAAGGAGGCGAGCGGGGAGGGGAGGAGGCAAGCTACAACCCTGCTCGAAGTCAAGCGCAACCTTTTAACGTTGGTCGACGCGTACAGCGCGGCCCACGGAATCTGATTGTTGTGTTTGCAGTCGCCAATTGTTGCGCGAACATTGAAGGTTTGGGATATTGGGGCGCCGCCACGTCGCGGGAAAAACTGTCTGTTGATTTCGAGAGGTGATGGGTGCGTAAGCGTCATGTCTGATGTTCTACCTCCCCCTCCCATCCCTTACCGTTGCGTAGGTCTCATCTCTATTCGCAGAGTCGGATGCCAAGCAGGGCATTGATCCCGAGAGAGTGCGCGAGGCATGGTGTAGAATGGCACAGCACGGCCTCGCGTCGAGAACGCGACTCATTTCGATTCAAGGTCAGAGGGAAACCAGAAATGACACGGGACGGGAAAATGAAATCAGCGTTGCAGCAGGAGTACGATTTCGAAGGACCGAAACCGCGGAAATGAGCCCAGCGCTGCAGCGGGAGCACGTGGAAGGAGTGGAAGCGCGGACTGGAAGGACGGGAAACGAAGCCAGTGCTGCAGCAGGAAAACGGTTTGGAAGAACCGAAACAATGAAATGAGGTCAGCGCTACCATGCTTTGGAAGGACTGAGAACAGAAAAGTTAAGCCAACGCTGTAGCGGGAGCGCCGTCTGAAAGACGTGAAGACGTTCGGATTGGAAACCACGTATGCGTTATCAGCTCGGCGGTATCCTGCATGTGAACAAAGTACTCGGAGGAGGAGGACAGGACACCTCACCAGCGTCTTCGGGGGAGAGAGGAGGGTAGTACTCATAGTGTGTAGTTGAAGATGGAGGACGGGGAGGTCGAGGAGCGGGCGAGAGAAGGGGATGGGGAGGGGCGAGGGGCAACAGGGAACAGCGGTGCTTGACGGCGAGCCCGGGGGGGGGGAAGCGAGAAGGAGAAGGCCTTCTCAGAAGGTATTCGGAAGGCTCCCGACCTTCTGAAAAGTTGTCAATGCCTTCCCCGAAGACACTGGAAACCTCTCAGAAGGCGCCAGGGCTTCTGAGAAGTCCCGCCGCCTCCTGAGAAGGCCTTCTCCCTCTCACTCCCCCCCCTCGCTCGCCGCCGAGGTGCGGCGGGGGGGGGGCTTGGGCAGAAGGGGGGCAGGAGGGTGCGGCGGGGGGACTGGGGAGAAGGGGGACAGGATCGGACGGGGCCGAGACGGATCGACCTTCTCAGAGCACTTCGGAACGCTCTGAGAAGGCCGCGGCGCTCGAGACACCCTCCAGAGCCGCCGGATCTCAGAGAATGTCGACCTATCCTCACCCGGTGTCATCCTCGGCCTGGCTCCGTCTTACAGGAGTAGAGGATTGTGGGGAGAGGGGATTGGGCCAGGGGAGGACGAAAGACAAGGGGAGGAGGATGAGGAGGAGGAGGAGGAGAAGGCCGGTGCAGCGGGAAGACTGAAGGGGCCCTGGGACACACAAATACATGCACACTAGTAAAATCATCGTTCCCCCTATTTTCCCATATTTTTTCTGGGTTTCTGTCTTCCCCCCCCACTGCCCATATTTTTTCCCATCTTTTCTGGGGGATCGACGATTCACTGTGTCTGTGTGTGTTTTTTGCACTCCCGAAGGACGCCTTCTCTCCCCGCGAGAGGGGGCCGGGGGGGCGGGGCGAGGGAGGGGCGCCCCGCCCCGGCAGCAGCGCAGCGGAGGAGGGCCTCTCTCTCTCTCCTCCCCCTCCTGCCGCCCCTCCTCCGCTCCATTCCAGTCCTCCTCCTCCTGCTCCTCCTTCTCCTCGTCCTCCTTTCCTTCGTCCCTCTCCTCCTCCTCCTTTCCTTCGTCCCTCTCCTCCTCCTCCTTTCCTTCGTCCCTCTCCTCCTCCTCCTGCTCCTCCTTCTCCTCCTCCTCCTCCTCCTCCTCCTCCTCCTCCTCCTCCTCCTCCTCCTCCTCCCCTTCTCCTTCGACGTGCCGGGATTCTTGGGCGGCAGACGAACACCGGTTTCCTCAATGCAATTTTTCTAGTCCCATCCGACGCGCAGTCCACACATCCCACTTGTTATGAAGAGGACATCCTGAGTGCAGATTTCAACCCCACACCCCCCCGCCAAATCAAACGCAAGTTTTCATGCGACGTGGCGGTGCCCCAGGACCAAACACATGTAATGTTCGCGCCGGTATTGGCGACTGCAAACACACAATCTGACCCCATGTGCCGCGAATCGCGCGTCGATCAACATTAAAAACTTGCGGCCATGGATGGCTGCCAGGGCCCCGAAATTGCGGAATTCAGGATCGTCTTGTCGAAGCGTGCCGGCTAGGCGAAGCTAGATCAGCCGTCCTTGATTCAGCCGCGTGCGTCGTCAGGTGCTGGTTTGGAGAGGACTCCAGCTGCGCATGGCGGGGCACGCGTGGAAACAACGCGCGCGACTTCTCTCCCTCCGCCCCCCGGCCGCCCGCGAGCGCTGGCTCAACAACAGCGCCGCCTGGGCCCCGCCAACAGCGCACCCCCAGTCGCGCGCCGTGCGGCCGGGGCAGCCCCCGCGAGAGGGAGGGCGGCAGAAATCTTTGGGCCGTCTGGCCCAGAATCTGCATGGTCGCGTGTGGAAGCGCGAGCTCCGTCACAAAAGAGCGATTCGCATCCTCCGAGGGTCAGTGCGGGCTCGCTGCCACAAAGCACGGGGTGCCAGACGGCCATTCCGGTTCACCGCACAACAGTCATTGCATAACGGACGGCATCGTCGCAGCTTCAGACCAGGATGATTCCGATTCCATCTGCAACAGTAGAACCATGTCACGCAAGTCAATATCGAAGTCACGTTCACCAGATAGATTGAGTTGCCCCTGTAACCAGCAGCGGTCGGCGGTCGTATGGCGCCCTCGATGTCCGCAGGCTTCCTGCCATCCCGCACTTGGGGCATTGACCTGGGCTCCCCGATCAGCCCTGCCCAAGGGGTGTGGTTGCCAACGCGGATCCAGTCTTGAACCCAGCTGCGAACCCCCGCGTTCATCTCCCCCCCCCCTTTCCTTGTCTCCCGCTTCCTCCCCCGCTGGCACTGTAGATCTCGGCGTGGCGCGACAGTTTGTGAGACGAGGCCCTGCGGCGTTCGTTCAGCTACGGCGACGGCGCAAGGGGAAGATTGAGTCGAATCTCCTCCCTCTCTTCCTCCTCCTCCTCCTCATCCTCCTTCTCCTCCTCCTCCTCCTCCTCCTCCTCCTCCTCCTCCTCCTCCTCCTCCTCCTCCTCCTCCTCCTCCTCCT